CTTGTAATTCTTTTTTAAAACTCATTTTTTTTTAAATTTCATCTGTGTTCATTTGTTGGCTTCTAATTACTTTATGTAAAACTGCCTTGCTTTCAAAATAATGTAATAACCCAGGATAATCAATTACTTTTCTCTATAGCATTTTTTACTATCTGATATAATGTGGAATTACAGTTTTTATTTATTGTCTATCTTTCCTTTTGAACTATAAGCACCCTGAATAGTAGATTCTTTGTTTTGTTCTTAGTTTCGCTAGATTTTAAAACAGTGCCTTTCCCATAATAGTCATGTAATAAATATTTGTTGGAATAATGAATACTGAATATTTTCTCTGTGGCTTTACCCTCCCTGTTGAATTATATCAAACTGTGACAGTAGAACCTGAGAAAATAATGATCATCACTCACAACCAGCTTAGACAATCATGTAGAGTATTTCAGATTTTATACTTTTTTCTACTTTAAACATCAAAATAAAACTTACCATGATTCAAAGAGTAGTTGGGCAAGGCCTCTCCAAATGCTATTCCTCCAGAAGAATCCTATCAGATAGAAATCCTGTTCAAGATTTGTTTTATGCTTTGAAAAACAATTAAAATTCCTCATCACTCTCATAATTAGAGCTCCAAGCCAATTTTACAGCTAGTTGATCAAAAGCTTGCATAGAAGAGGCATCATACTGAAGCCTCTGCTACTTCAAGCATATTGTAACATGTTAGTGCAGAGCCTCTCTCCCTGGCATGACCTCCATGTGTCAGGCATATTGCTATTCCCATTAAATCTAGTCATCATTAACCCAGGGCAATTAGGAGGTCTGGGAGGAGACCCAAGAAACCAGCTTTCTACCTGCTGTGGCACTTCATCCTGCTTTTTTTTATAGTGCTGTGTTTTAGTTCTTGCCATTATATATGAATTTTCAAGTCCTCTGACTTAACAACACAAGCAGGAATTGTAGTGTAAATTATATATCAACTAATATTATTCCATCAAAGATTTATTATCCCTTCCTTATCATTACTACCCAATATAACAATTTTGACTGTAAGGTTATACACTGTTTAAAACTCTGGACCATAGAAATTTAAATCTATTGTTAACACAAATAAAAGTTATGTGGACCATGAGTCCAAGTAAAAGGCATAACAATGGTCTCTTTAGGCACACTGAGAATTTTGGTATTTTTTTTCTTTCTGATTTATATCATAAAAGCATTTTATTTTCTTAGAGCAATAAAAATTTGGAGACCAAACCTCTTTACAACTGTGGGACTGGAAACCTGAACAGGAACATTTAATCAACTTATAAGGAAAGTTATTGAATCAAACATGTTACTCTCACCATCAGTCAGTAGTTTGAAAGGCTAGTTAACATGAAGTCCTTAACTGGTGTCTTTTGGCCAAATACACCACGATATGTTACAGAACTACCAATTTCTCACATATGCATTTCCCAAATGTTCAGATAACAAGCTTCAGTCAATGCAACAGAACCCACATAGTGAGCTCTCTGTGACATCTGGAGAGCTGGTTATTGTGTTCACTATAACAAATATTTATCAGCATAGGTGATAGCTTCCCAACCAGCTGTATTTCAGCGTTTACCATTTCAGACATTATGTCAAGAGGAAATTTTTTTTCAGTTGGGTAAAATCTCATGTAAGATTGAATTTAGAAGGGAGATGTTCGATTTGGTAGAATTATTTTTGATAAGTGGTTCTATGTTTAAACTTTTAAATAAGGTTTGTGTCTGCTACTTGTACACTCATTACCACAATGCTATTTTGTAAAAGATATTTGATGCCTTAGAAGCACTATCTTCTTATTATTTTCGTTAAATCCAGATGTCCCACTGTTTGGATTGTAATCAGAAAAGAACTTAACTTCAATACCCTCCATTGCATTTGGGATCACCCTTAAGACCCAGAAAGATTATGTGGATTCTAAAAGTTAAAATAGTCTAACAATTCCATAGGAAAATGAAGTCATCAGTGCTGTTTCTTGCAATCCATCAAGCTCGTATTGTCCTAAAGCGTAGAATAAAAACACAGCTGCATTGCCTTAACGAAGCCATGTGTAAGAACACCTAAATTTACAAAAGAGATAAAGGAGGAGTTGATTGTTCAGACAAAAGGTAACTCTCAGGAATTTCTTTAAATTGTTAATTTTCTGAAAAAGATTTTATTTTAGTTAAATTATAACTTGACAAAGAACTAAGAGACTAGAGCTTATTAGAGAAGTAATTAAGAATCACTGCCATTAGAAGAGCAACCAAAATGATACATTTAACTGGCAAAAGTTGTAATGTTACTAAATGAACAGGTATATCTCAATATGAAAGAAATTCAAATTACCCTAAAATTCTCAAGATTATATTATTCAACCATGTACACACACACACACTACACTTTACTATTCATATAAAAGTATCTTAGTATTTTGTAGGGACAACTATGAATCAATAAGCTAAAGTTTATGAAACAAAAACTGTTAATATATTGCATGTCATAATAAATTCCATCCTTTGTTTTGGTAGATAATGGGCTCTCAGAGTAATATCTCAGATGAAGTAGAAGAACAAGCCCTAGAGAAGATACAAGAGCTGAACAGAAGCTACAACAAGTATATGGAAAGCGTGATTCAACAGCTTTTGAGCATGGTATGTGACATGAAGCCAGAAATTCATACAAACTACAGAATCACCAATTAAATATACATCATACAGTATAATAAATGGTGTAATAAATAAATCCTACTTGCTTGTTGCTTCCTGTTTGTATCAAGGTACTTAAATGTTAATCTTATTCTTGGAATATATATAAGGACTTCATTATGACATAATTCACACGTAAGCACTAATTAAGCATGAATAAACAAAACTATTGCTTTATAATTCCTATTAATAGTTTTGACTTCATCCTCTAACTTGCAGAATGACAAGATTCAAGGTTACAAAATAATATATTTTTTGAGACATGAAAGGAAAACAATCATGACAGCCTTTTTTTTTCTCTTCTTCTTCAGTTTAGAAAAGTTGCTTTTAGGTGTTATTGTTTAAAAATAATTTTATAATGGAGATGCTCAGAGGCATAAGCACCTGTCTGGCAAGCACAAGGTCCAAGTTAGACTCCTGGTATCAAATTATCATAATTTAAAAGGCAATATAATACTCATTTGCATAAAAAGACCGTAACTTTTTTATCCATTCCTCAGTTGATGGGCATTTGGGTTGTTTCCAAGAGTTAGCTATGACGAATTGTGCTGCTATGAACACAAGTACACATACTTGCTTTCTATGATGATTTCAGTTCTTTTGGAAAAATACCTGTGAAAGGAACAGCTGGCTTGAATGGGACCTCCAATCCTAGTTTTTTGAGGAATCGCCATACTGATTTCCATAAGCATTTACCAGCCTGCACTCCCACCAACAGTGGAGAAGGATTCTCTTGCCCCCACAGCTGCTCCAGCATTTGTCATTGGTTGACTTCTTGATGACAGCCATTCTTTCTGGCATAAGATAGTATCGCAGCATTGTTTTAATTCGTATCATTTGAATGACCAATGATGCACATGTTTCATATATTTATTTTCCATCTGTATCTCTTCATTTGTGAAGTGTATATTCATCTCGGATGTCCATTTTTTGACTGGGTCTTTGAGTTTTGTAGGCCTATTTTTTTGTTATTGTTTTTTCTTTAAACCAGGCTTACCTGTTTATATCTGGTAACCTGAACCACTAATTTGAACACAGCATTATGCAATGCAGCAACCACTGTTCAATTCCTATTACTTTGCTTAGTGAAATTTTGTATCATTTGTAATGCTGTTTTTTTCTATCACTATTTCATACTCTTTAATTAATAAATAAATGGGATATAATTATGATTAAAGTGACTATGTCAAGGACTGTGTTCATCTTTAATCAATGAGGAAACTATAAAATGTCATCGCTAATTCAAAAACAAATTCTAAAAATGTGCATAGAGAGAGGAGACAAAAAAAGTGAGTTATATAATGATCATAAGAGAAATAGGTCCCAAAGCTATTCTATGTACTCCTTCAACTAAAAAAAGATTATTTTAAAAGAAAAATAATAAAAGATGAGCTTCCAGCATAGATGGAATGGTTTATTTTTGGTTTTTGTAAAAAAGTTCGAGTTACAATTTTGTATACTTCAGTCTCTCAGAAATGACTAAGCTAACTTCTTTAGTACTTTGTTAATTAAATATATGAATTGTCTCAGACCTTTTGTGGGAGCAATAGTAGCATCCCCCTGCACAAATGCAAGCAAAGCCTCAGGAATTTGCCTTGAGGTCGCTTAGGGACAGGGCTAGCACGGGCTTTCACCAGGCAGTGACCACAACATTCCTCACCGAGTGGCTTGAAAGTTCCTGTGTGTACAGTATGCACTAAGAGTCATGACTACAAAAATCTTCGATCTTAATACGCATAGAGAAATTTAAATTACCAAAGTTGTTTAGTAAATTTTACCATTTTATCACAAAGCCTAATAGCTCAAGATAGTTTTATATTCACATTAGATAAACAGAAAAAAATTGAAAATCCATTTGTTTTCCTATTTTCAAAACTTTTGTGCAAGGAAAACCAATCAAGTTAGTTTTACACTTTTTGGTGACAGATTTCTCCATTACTTGAAAAACACTGATTTTTCAATTAATGAACAGAAAGGTATTAAATATTATTAGGGAAGCTTTAGATTTTTTTTTTCTTCTGAGGATGATAGTAGACATCAAAGGTGACTCCCCAAAATGGATAGTCATGCAAGATTTTCACTACAACACAGATTTGGAGAATTGAATTCAATATCTATCCTACAGAGCTGAGATATACACAACAATGAGTAAAATCTCCCATTTAAAAAGTTATTGTCTGAAAAGATAATTCTGAAAAGCACAGCTCTCTCCCGTTACTTACAAGATAAAGTTTAGGGTTTTTTTCTTTTTATCTTATTTCCTGAAAACTAAAAATGTATATTTTCTGGATGTGACAGTTAAAATATACAGTCTGGAACATTTACTTGGGATGTTTCAGACTATCCAGGACATAGGATTAATTTTGGGATCTAAACGGTTCAGAAATACATTGCAATTAGTGCATAATAATTTCTCAGAATTAAAGTGGAACCGCAAACAGCAGAAGAGACGAGACCGTGCACCTGGGCACCACTGGTGAGTCACCCAGCCTCCCTGGGCCTCTAGCACTTTTTAGTGACTTTATCTGCAAAAATACTGTTGAACTAAACAATTTATCTGGGTACGTTAAGATTTAATTCTGCATATTAAATTAGGTCAATTTCAAAGAACACTATCCACTATTTACAACCTTTTTTTTTCACTGCTATAAGCTTTTGAAACTCTTCAGTGACCCCTGTCTCTGTTCTAAATACCCCACTGAAGAAACATCAACCAACCTTAGTACCCTGGTCTCTGTGGAGCTTGCATCCTCATGCTCAGCTATAGTTTCACATCTTGGAGTAACTGAATGAGTCATTTTCCCAGAACTCTCACGTGTCACCCATGGTAAAGCTGCCAAGTTTTACTTTATTTACATATAAAAAGGTATCACATATTTCAGAGATAACTCATTTATCTGTGAAAACTTTCTCAGTCACACCAAAAAGGTGACTTTTTTTTGTACATTGACTTATCTTATGAAGCTTTTAGTTCTTGTACACCTTTGTTCTAATGCTTTGTACTGTCAGAAACTGAAAAATGGAAATTAATTCCACCAAATTCTTACTCATTTCCTGAAATTAAAACTGTACAACTTACAGAAAGAATAGATTACACATTTTTCCTCTATTTACACACACACACACACACACACACACACACCACGAACAGCCATCAATACGTTGCCATTAATTCTTTGATTGGTAAAGATAATAGGGTAGAGGTGGCCAGAGCATGCAGAACTGTTCCAGCCAAAGTCATCCTAGAACTAGTCACACCCCTCACAAAACAGCCCAGCCTGGGTCTGGGAGATGGCTCTGTAGAATAAGCACTTCCCTGGCAAGCGCAAGGACCTGAGTTCAATTGGTTCTGCCAAAAAAAAAAAAAAAAAGAGCCCAGCCAAGGTCAGAAAGTCACATTACCTACAACCAACCAAAAACCATGAATGAGCAAAGAGTCAACCATATTACCTACACAAAAGATCAACAAAATCAAGAGAAATAATAAATTGCTCTTCTGAGCCACTGAGTTTTCGGGTGATGTGTATGAAGTCATAGCTGATACTCCTATAAAAAAGCAACACTGTGTGCCAAAGGAGGGCTGCTAAACTATCTTGGGTGCTTCTCAGAGCTGAAGTAAAATAGGAAGGGGCTGTGACAGTCAGAGTCACACACGTTCAAGGAGAGCACGTGGGTAGGAGAGTGCAGTAATGAGGCTGTGAAAGTCATCAGAGAAACGGTGCAGCAGCTGGAGGCAGTTGTGTGTTGGGCCTGTTTTTGTGTGGATGGGGAATGATAGAGCACATTCAGATACAGATTGAAATTCCCTGTAGAAGGAGAGAAATCGGTATGCATGGGGCTGGGGAGACAGCTTGGTGGCTTAAGTACCTGCCTAGCAAGTGCAAGGTAATGAGTTTAATCGCTAGTACCACAAAAAAAAAAAAAAAAAAAAACAGAAAAGAAAATAAATTGGTATGCAGAAACAAAGTCCTGGAGAAGAGCAAGTAGCATTGGAGCATAGGCAGAGGACAATTTATTTTTTTTAATTTTTACTTTTTAAGGAGAGTACAAAATAGTATTAAAGCAGAAAAATTACAAAATAGTATTAAAACAGAAAAATTACAGAATTTTACTAAACAAATAATACGAATTTCACAGCATTTGAGGGCCCAGAGAGATAGCTCAGTTGCATAAGTGCTTGCCTGGCAAGAGCAAGGGCCTGAGTTCAATCCCTAGCTCCGCCAAAAAAAAAAAAAAAAAAAAAAAAAAAATTCACAGCACTTGTTGTATTGTATAGTGTTGTCTTCAAATTAGCTGTTCATACTATCAGACATATGTTTATATTACAAAAAGCCCATAGCAAGCCTGGGTTGACATAGAAGTGGATCAGTAGACTTACTGGTACAAGGAGGAAGTGTTCATGTCTGAGTATTTTTTGTTTTCAAATTAAATAGGAGAGAAATGATCATCTGGCAATGGTTACAAGTTCTGAGCAGCTTGTCAAGGCAAAAGAAGAGGCAGAATACTCATTTTAGGAAGTAAGAGAACCACTGTAGATAAGGACAGGCTGGGCAAGCAGTGTTGTATATGCAAAAGGGCCATCCTGCCATGCGTGTAAAGTGAGAGTAAGACAGTTGGTTTTCTCTGGGGCAATGATGAGCTACTCCAGGCGAGGAGGAAGCAGATCTCTACTTCCACCACTTGAGATCATCTCTCCTGTCCTTTGTCTCTCAGCTCTCAGGTGAAACTAAAATAATTCTTAAAAAGACTATGGATAAATGGCCTTAAATTCAAAGACAATAATTATTTTCTATTATTTTTCAATTTCTATTTCTGTAGAGTGCTAAAAAGAAAGAAATATAAATCCAGAGGTCATTACAATTGATGATTCTGTTTTTCAACCCAAGGAACAATAACTATTGTTAATTCTACATGACTCCTAAGTTTCCTGTTTTCCTGTCTTCACTGCATTGGCCTAATACAGGCATTACAAAGGGTTACTGGTTTAATGGGTTCTTTTTTTACGAAAGTAGCCCAAAGGAGCTGTCAAAGGGCGTTATGAAATGAGGGAT